CCCCCCCCGCCAGGCTGCGCCTTCCCCTATGCCGCCTACTCCATGCCGGCCTCCTGGCTGCACAGCCGCCTGCACCAGCTATTTGTGCCCGCCGCCGCACTCAATTCTTTCCTGTGCACCGGCCTCTCCTGCTACTCCCGGTGGGTTCTCGGCCAGTGGTGAAGGGGAAGGCGGAGGGACAGGACAGGGCACCCACAAACACCTGGACACCCAGGACCACTGGGTGTGCCTGTGTTTCACTGCTCTTGAACAACATTGGTAACGATGGGACCGTTTATTGAGGACTTACTATGCCCAGACCCTGTGCACCAGCACCATCCCTGCACTCTCTCTCTCACAGCCACCTAAGAGGCAGGTGTCTATCCCCGTCTAACAGCTGTTGTCACTCACAGAGGAGTCATGTGGCCTAAGGGCTTTCATAGCCACTAAGCTACACTGACATTCCATCTCGGACAAAGGTCCCCTGCCCTCCTCTGACCCCCAGCCCAGCATAAGGATGGTGACCAGCCTTTCACTCCCGCCTCCTAGGTTCCCCGAGCTAGAAAGCCCTGCGCTCAGTAAGATCCTCCGCACGGCTGCCTTCACCTATCCCTTTCTGTTTGACAACCTCCCGCTCTTCTATCGGGTAAGCCTCCTGCTTTCCTATCCTGACCCTCACAGTGCCCACTCCCAGCCCTGGCCCCTCGATCCCTGACTCAGCCCTGCTGCCCACCCTCCTAGCCCAGCACCCAGTCCAGCTGTGCCCTCCCCCTCCTCATCCTCACCAGATCCCAGACACATGATGTCCACCCCCAAAGCCCCTCCCCGTCAACCCTGCTTTTCCTTTGCCAGCTCGGACTGTGCTGGGGCAGGGGCCACAGCTGTGGGCAAGAGGCACTGAGCACCAGCCACGGCTACCACCTCTTCTGCGCGTTGCTCACTGGCTTCCTCTTTGCCTCCCACCTGCCTGAGCGGCTGGCACCAGGACGCTTTGATTACATCGGTGAGAGCAGACCTGGCCTGGCCCAGGAGGGGTTGGGGAGACAGCTCCCCAGAGCACAGAGTGAACTGAGTAAAGGAGAGTATTCCTGGCAGGGCCCTCAGGGTGCAGGCCCAGCCCCAGTCCTCAGATAACAACAAAACCAGCAGCCTGTTGTAGGCCAGGGGCTCTGTGCACAGCAGCTCACTCACTCTTGCCAATAACTCTGGGAATTGGGTTTCTTATTCCCAGTTTTAGGGGAGTAGCAGGCCCAGAGGATGTGGTGCTCACCATGGGTCACAGGATGAGTTGGGGCAGACCTGGGGATGGGGTATGTGCCCTCACTCGCCCATCCTCCCCACAGGCCACAGCCACCAGCTATTCCACATCTGTGCAGTGCTGGGCACGCACTTCCAGCTGGAGGCGGTGCTGGCTGATATGGGATCTCGCCGAGCCTGGCTGGCCATGCAGGAACCGCCGCTGGGCCTGGCGGGCACGGTGGCCACACTGGGCTTGGCAGTGGCCGGGAACCTGCTCATCATTGCTGCTTTCACAGCTTCCCTATTTCGGGCTCCCAGTACGTGCCCCCTGCTGCAGGGTGGCCCGCTGGAGAGGAATACAAAGGCCAAACTACAGTGAGGCCCCAGCTCTGAGCCTGCCCTGGAGGAAAGCAGAGACCAGGCGCCCCCCCCC